TCAAGGCGCGGCCAGGACGATGCTGACACCTCTCCTTCTAGCCACCATACCCCTACCACACTTTCCCAACGAGATACTCGTTCAAAAATTGCAACACGCAAAGTTGCTAAACAGCTAGCGGCTGAGATTACTGTTACGTGGTCGGCTGCGACGCTATGAACCTGAATGAAGTGCTGAAAAAAAAAAAAGAAAAACATGAAAAGAAAGTGCAGCTGCCCTTCGTGGTTTCCCCTGGAGAAGCACGAATCTTGCGTTGTAACTGCTGTAAGCACATTTTCTGGGTACCTACTACGCCATAAATAATCATAACTTTTGTGTAGTAGGCTGGCTTTCACTATGCAATCCTTCATCATTCTTCGGAAAAGCGTATGCTATACACACTTGCTAGGAATGTTGTGCAATATTTCGATACAGTGGCTGGCGACGATGAAGAATTATGTTTGAAGTGGGCATGCGCCACAGCTTTTGTAATGGGTTGGATAATATGACGAGCAATTCTTTACGTGATTCGCATTATGCGACGCTTGGCTGTTCCTTTGATGTTCTAAAACGCGACATTTGCGCGATTCCTTTCCCGACATCAAGGCTCAGGAAAGGTACTTTTGAAATGAGCTTCAAGCGCCGGCGTGGCTCAGTGGTAGAATGCTTGGCTGGCACGCAGTGGACTCAGGTTATAATCTCATTGACTTTGGCGCTTTTGATTTACCGCGTTTTTTTTTCTTTTACAGCGAAAGCTGTCATGAGATCACATCAGGGGTCTCGCGAAGCGCCGCAGTTGTCCACCGCCGCAGGTGTACGTAACCACATCAGGCGAAATCGGCAAAAAAAGAAAAGAAAACCTAGCATTATTGACAACGTGGGGCTCTGACCCGGGTCCGTTTGGTGCCAGTCCAGTATTCTACCACTGAGCCATGCCGGTGCTTGGGGATTGTTGGTAATTAAACTTGCCTAAGGCAGGCTTGATGTCGAAAAAGCAATCGTGTTAATACGACTTATAAAATGTTTTAAGACAGCGAAAGAACAAGTCGTCGCAATGCAAATAGCGCAACGATTAGGTCGTCCAATGCTACAACCCATTACAAAAGCTCGATCTTGTTCAGCTATTAACTGTGGCGCATACCCACTTCAAGCATAATTCCTCATCGTCGTCAGCCACTGCATGAACAATTGGCACAAAATTCCTCGCAATCGTTTAGCGGATATTACGCTTATCAGAAGAGAGAGAGAGAGAGAGAGAGAGAGAGAGAGAAATCAACGTTTATTTAGAAAACGGTGTTCCGAGCGAGGCCCGGTGTCACCCTAAGGTGGGAGGGTTCGGCTTCGATTGCCCTCATGGCCCTGGCGACGAGTTGTCTCTGGTATTCCAGGTCCTCGTGGACGATCTTGGCCTCCCACGTTTCCATTAGTTGGTCGTCGTTTATTCTTGGGGCTTGGTCCCCTTCCAGTTGCACGTCGTGGTTAGCATGGCACTGGCATTCCAGGAGCAAGTGTGCCAGGGTGTTTGGTACGCTGCAGAGCGGGCACATGACCTAAACTCTTTTAACCTAGACTCTTCTTTTCAAACAGACGTAATATACCTCGACTTTTCCAAAGCTTTCGACCGTGTTCCCCACCGCCATCTAATAAGTAAACTTTCTTGTCTCAGTATAGACCCCTTAGCCATATCTTGGATTAAAAAAATTCTAACCGGTCGTGTTCAGTATACTGTTGTCACGAATAATGAATCAACCCGTGTTGATGTAGTTTCCGGTGTACCGCAAGGTTCTGTTCTTGGGCCTCTTTTGTTTATAATCTGTATTAATGATCTTCCAGACAAAATTTCATCCACCATTCCACCATCCAGCTTTTTGCAGACGATTGTGTGCTTTACCGTCGCATCTCATGTTGCACTGACCAAATTACACTCCAGAATGACTTATCTAACATACATAATTGGTGTTCGCGGTGGCTGATGCAGCTTAATACACAAAAATGTAAATTCATGCAAGTTTCGCGCAAGCGCACTAACTTTTCCTTCCAGTATTCTGTGAACTTCCAGCCCTTAACCCAGGTCGACTCCTATCGTTATTTTGGCGTAATAATAACAAGTAAACTAACATGGTCCGAGCACATAGAACAACTAGTCACCGCTTCAGCAAAATCACTTGGCTATATTAAAAGATCGCTTACGTCCTGCCCACCGCAAATCCGAAAATTAGCTTACGAAACCTTCACGCGTACTAAACTTGAATATGCTTCTGCTATTTGGAACCCTCACCAAAATTACCTAATCGACGCATTAGAAGCAATTCAAAATCGCACTGCCATATTCATCACTTCACAATACAGTTCTCGCTTAAGTATTACCAGTATCAAACTATCGCTCAACCTCCCTCCTCTAGAAATTCGCCGCAAAGTCACTCGGCTCTGCCTTCTGCACAAACTATACCATAATTTCCCGTCGCAACGCAATACCATTCTTCTACCTCCCACCCGTTCATCGCGTCGCCTCTTTAACTCTCTATGTTTACAGCGCTTACATGGTTCAACTAACGCTTTCAATAAATCATTTTTACCTACTGCCATTGAAGACTGAAATAACCTGCCCGAACCCATAGTGCACGAACAAAAACACTTAAAAGTTTAACAGCTAATCACAAATCACTTGATATGTTAGTTAATTTACAATTTTTGCCGTTTTGTTCCACGTATATATATATATATAATATATATATATATATATATATATATATATATATATATATATATATATTTCCTTCTGCTGACATTGTTTTTTTTATCATGTTGTTCACTTTCGATTATGCTTTGTACCATTGACAATCATACATCTGTTGAATTGTGTTTTTGCCTCCCCCTAATGTAAAACCCCGCAAGGGGCCTTTAGGGTTCAATAAATGATGATGATGATGTGGCCATGTGTCGTTGGGTAGAGGCGGTGCATTAATATGCCATGTATGTAAGCATTGCTTTTGTAGGCGTCTGAAAATCACGCTCTCTTCTTTGGTTAGTCTTGGATGGGGTGAGGGTACAACCCGTCGCTCCAGCTTGTAGTGTAGCGACGAATAGGCTTATCAGAAGAATGACGAAAAATGGCATAGCAAATCCCGGCCTACTACCCTAATTTTTTTTATTAATGGTCGTAGTGGCATCAAGCAAGTGTGCTTGCAGCGTTACACATTAGTGTTTTAGAAAAGGATTTGAAAAGTCTCTCTTCTAGTTTTCGCTGCAACTGCGCTGCGCCTTCCGCGCAGGCCTGGCGTTTTTCCGATTTCTTGAGATATCGGTTACGGACACCGGCGGCGGCGGTGCGCAACTACCGCGCCAAACGTGACCTGCGTTCCTGATTTTATGACAGCACACATGCTCTGGGAGTGTAGAACAACTCCTCCCGACTGTACCTCAAGCAAGTGGGAGAGGTCCCTCAGGAGCTCACTTCTCGCCGACCAGCAATGGGCCGTCCAGCAGGCCCACGAAGCGGCCGCCAGGTACTCCCTGTCGGTCCCTATATACGTGGGAGACGCCCGCTACGCGCTAAGCGCGTCCTGCAGGACTGAAATAGTTTTTCATTCCATTCCATTTCGCTGTAAAAAAGAGAAACATCCATGGCGTACGCAGCCAAAAGCACCTTGGCAGCAGCCCGACAATAGAGCGAGAGTGGTGACGAACAATAGCCCTCGTCGACTTACAGTCGGGGTATTACGTGCCCCGCAAGCGTTTTATGACGTCGACAAATATACTTGTTTGCCCTCTGCCACGTCCCGAGGAGGCCTGTCTACGCCAAACCACAGAAGATGTCGAACCGACGAAAATACTCGGTTCAGCACTCGCCCTTGCTTTAAAACCAAACTAACCAAATCTTACATGCAACACTTGTCACTAATAATTGCTGAGAAGTGTAGCTGCACACAGAACACTCAACACAAGCATCGAGAATTTTCACATTTGTTGCCAGATGTCCTTTAATGTTACCCTTGCGTTGTGTTCTCGTATAGTGCTATCGCTTATGCGTACTTGCACTCTAACCACGCAGTCATGATTGCACCATGCAGAATTTCGTCGAAAACTACTCTCCATTATTCTGTACACTTCACCTGGGAGTGCACTCTAAAAAAATCGAGTATTTGGGAAGCGTTTCTGCCCCACAACAATAATAGTCATCTACTTCGAGTACTTTCCTCGTGTTATCGCCATGGTTTGCGGTCACGAACAGCGGGAGTGTAATAAGGGTGACATAGCGATTCTTGAGAAGAAAGTAGCCAGCGCCGGGTTTTCAAAAAAAAAAAAAAGGAAACGCGGGAACTCAGATGGCGATTATCGTCGAGTCGCAGAACTATACTCCCCGAATACTTTTTTTTCTTAGAGCGATAGTTACTCCGCTAGTCAGTGCATGGATCAATTTGGTGTGTCGTTCTACTGAAAAGAGACTGTATACATATTTTACCTGTGGGAGAGTACTACACGTGCGAAACTGCTAATAACGCAAAACGTTTTATTATAGCCTTGAATATTTGCGAGCTAGCCACAAAAGTTCACAATGAAACTGCGTAAGCGCGAAAAAGCAAATTACTCGGCCATACGAAAAATGTGTGTACTCGTGATGTTCGTATTATAGCGCCGAAGTGGTTGCTAGTGCATACTGTCGAAATTGCGCAATGTCTCAAAAACGCGATTGAACAACGGTACAGCATATACGTAAGAACTAAGGACTTAAGACTGCCCACGTAAACAATCAGTGAGGCGACAACGCGTTGAGATAATTAACAAGTGCGACGTGAGTTTATCAGCTCACTGTCACATCGCACACTCGCATACACTACACTGACGCAGTTAAGCATACTAAATAATGAAAACACACTGAACAAATGAGTCTTCGTTCGGCGTTGCGCGTGATGAAGAAAATACACGCGTGAATTATACGAATAAAAACGTCACAGCACTAAATGTTCATTTCTCTGTCGATATATAACAAGATCTCACAAAGGTCTGTCAGAGGGGCGCACTCAGTGAATTAGGGCACACTTGTCGGCGGGGTTCATGAACGAACCGACCTTGCAGCCGAAAGCACGCGCGAACTCCAGCGAATTGCGCAGCGGGCCGTTAACACGGAACCAGGCGGGACTGTGTGGTCCCTGGGCGGCCATCTTGCGCAGGAAGCGCTGGTTGCCGTTCTCGCACATGTTGGCGGCGTACGAGACGAAGAAGAGCTGACTGGCGTTCCAGTGCTCGAGCAAGGCGAGCCGATAGTCAGGCGCCACGCGACCACTGTCCAGCAGGAACGCGTCCAGTGCCGGCCGCAACGCCAGGCTGCCCCACAGGTCAGACCACGAAGTGCGCGATGCGTCCAGCTGCGGCCTCTGCTCGGTCCAGGACATGGCAGAGTACTGGCGTTTCAGGCAGCGCCTCAAGTCGTTCATGCGACGCGACAGGGCCGTCTCGGCTCCGTATGCGTTGCTGCCGCGTTCGAAGTTGTAGGCCCAGTGGTAGACGGCACGCAGTAGGGGCCGGTACACCTTCGTGCCCGCCCTAGCCATCTGCAAGGGTCGCAGAGACGGGTCCTCGTTGAGGAAGAAGTCGAAAACGGGCAGCGGGATCTCGAGCCTCTCGTACGGTGGTGGCAACTGGCTCTCGGCGCTCAGGAAGCCGCCCGTCCAGCCCGGGTAGGCCGCCACGCCGCCTGCGGCAGCCGCACGCGTGCTCATGTGCGCCATCAGCTTCTTCTCGAGCGACTTGCGGATCCAGGTGTAGACGAACTGTGCCGTGGAGAGGCGCGAGTTGCTCAGGTAGACGCCGTCCACGTACTCGGCTCGCGTCGACTCGCTGTCCATAGCGCGGGGCGACAGGGGCTCCCACGAGACGGCGTTCAGCTTGTCGCGAAGGTGCGCGCGCAGCTCGCTGTTCAGTGGGCCCAGTTGCGCCTGGACGGACTCGAGCAAGACGAGGCGTAGCGTAGACACCAGGTCTTCAACGGCGTTCTCACCTCCCAACAGAGACTCGGCGAGGCGCCGCGACACGTGCAGCGGCAGGTTGGCTCGAAGCGGTTCAGCAGGCGCAGGCAGTAGTGGCTCTGCGGGAGAGCACGCGCAAACTCTGGGTGTCGCGCGTAGGCCACCGAGGCGAGCTGGTCGCGGAGCTCGCGCTTCCAGATGAAAGGCGACAGCGCCATGGTGATGCGGAAGAGCAGGTAGCCCAGCAGGTCGCTCGAGAAGCGCAGCAGGTCCCCACGCGCCAAGCGAAGGAAGTAGTCAGGCGAAGCCAGCTTTACGTACGTCCGGGCCGTGATGGGACGAAGCCCTTTGCCGAACACGCTCTGCAGGAAGCTAGTCCACTCGATGTTCCTCAGCGAGGGCAGGTCAAACACCTTGACCATGCTGGCATTGACAAGCGCCGCGGCGTCCAGTTGCGGCCGGCCGAGCATGAGCGCCAGTCTCTCCTCGAACTGGAGGAGGTCGGCGTCCGTCTGGTTCTGGAAGAAGCCCAGCAGGGGCGCGAAGCTCACGCGCACCAGCTCATACTCTCGGCGCTCGAGCGGGCCGCGCAGGAGCACCGTGGATGGCTCGCCGAGCCCCACGAAGCGGCGGGTGTCATTTGAGGAGACTTCTTTGACCACGAAGGGCCTGAAGAGGGCGTCGACGCCGAGCTCGCGGTAGGCGACGCCCAACTTGTGCGACACCTCGACGGGCGACGGACGGCGGCGCGCGCTCGATTGCGCCATCCATGGTCGAAGCCGGGCTGCATCCATGAACATGGCCCGCAGGGCGTGGAAGAGGTTCGGCTGCGGCCGCAGGCAGTTGTCGATGAGGAAGCGCAGCGGCGGGAACCGGCTGGTCGCATTGTCGCGCAGTCCCGAGGCGAGTAGCTCAGCGTAGCCGTCCACCAGGGCAGTGTCCACCGAGAGCCGCTCACTACCGAGAGGCAGCGGCCGCGCCCGCACCCAGTCGTCGCACACGTACGCGTAGAAGTCGTTGCAGGGGTCGCGGCTGGTGTTGATCTGGCGCAGCAGTCGGCGGGCGTACTCCACGCACGCCGTCGAGGTACAGGCGCGATTGCGGCGGCTTTGCGAGGGTGCGTCATAGAACACGTCTGGAAAGCTTGCTCTGCCGTGGCAATGATTTGAACAAGTGTTAGAAAAGCTTTACGTGAACTGTAGTGACGAATACATATAAATGTTTCGATAATTTCAGACGTTTATTACCGATGAACTATTAAGCTTCATTTAATGAACAAAATGGCTTCTATGCTGAGGTGAGTAAAGGAAAAGAGCTGATGGCCAATCGACTGTCTTCCCAGGAGTGTGTGAACTTCCAGCCCTTAACCCAGGTCGACTCCTATCGTTATCTTGGCGTAATATTAACAAGTAAACTAACATGGTCCGAACACATAGAACAACTAGTCACCGCTTTAGCAAAATCACTTGGCTATATTAAAAGATCGTTTACGTCCTGCCCACCGCAGATCCGAAAATTAGCTTACGAAACCTTCACGCGTACAAAACTTGAATATGCTTTTGCTATTTGGAACCCTCACCGAAATTACCTAATCGACGCATAAGAAGCAATTCAAAATCGCGCTGCCATATTCATCACCTCACAATACAGTTCTCGCTTAAGTATTACCAGTATCAAACTATCCCCCAACCTCCCTCCTCTAGAAATTCGCCGCAAAGTCACTCGGCTCTGCCTTCTGCACAAGCTATACCATAATTTCCCGTCGCAACGCAATACCGTTCTTCTACCTCCCGCTCGTTCATCGCGTCGCCTCTTTAACTCCCTATGTTTACAGCGCTTACATGGTTCAACTAACGCTTTCAATTAATATTTTTACCTACTGCCATTGAAGACTGGAATAACCTGCCTGAATCCATAGTGCACGAACAAAGCCACTTAAAATTTAAACAGCTAATCACAAATGACTTGATATGTAAGTTAATTTACAATTGTTGCCGTTTTCTTCCACGTATATATATAATTTTCCTTCTGCTGATATTGTTTTTTTTTCCTGTAGTTCACTATCGATTATGCTTTTACCATTGACAATCATGCATCTGTTGGAGTTGTGTTTTTTGCCTCCCCCTTATGTAATACCCCGCAAGGGGCCTTTAAGGGTTCAATAAATGATGATGATGATGATGATGCTGATGATGATGATGTGGCCATGTGTCGTTGGGTAGAGGCGGTGCATTAATATGCCATGTATGTAAGCATTGCTTTGTAGGCGTCTGAAAATCACGCTCTCTTCTTTGGTTACTCTTGGATGGGGTGGAGGGTACAACCCGTCGCTCCAGTTTGTAGTGTAGCGACGAATAGGCTTATCAGAAGAATGACGAAAAATGGCATAGCAAATCCCGGCCTACTACCCTAATTTTTTTTATTAATGTCGTAGTGGACATCAAGCAAGTGTGCTTGCAGTAGTTACACAATTATTGTTTAGAAAAGGATCTGAAAGGTCTCTCTTCTAGTTTTCGCTGCAACTGCGCTGCGCCTTCCGCGCAGGCCTGGCGTTTTTCCGATTTCTTGAGATATCGGTTACGGACACCGGCGGCGGCGGTGCGCAACTACCGCGCCAAACGTGACCTGCGTTCCTGATTTTATGACAGCACACATGCTCTGGGAGTGTAGAACAACTCCTCCCGACTGTACCTCAAGCAAGTGGGAGAGGTCCCTCAGGAGCTCACTTCTCGCCGACCAGCAATGGGCCGTCCAGCAGGCCCACGAAGCGGCCGCCAGGTACTCCCTGTCGGTCCCTATATACGTGGGAGACGCCCGCTACGCGCTAAGCGCGTCCTGCAGGACTGAAATAGTTTTTCATTCCATTCCATTTCGCTGTAAAAAAAGAGAACATCCATGGCGTACGCAGCCAAAAGCACCTTGGGAGCAGCCCGACAGAAGAGCGAGAGTGGTGACGAACAATAGCCCTCGTCGACTTACAGTCGGGGTATTTACGTGCCCCGCAAGCGTTTTATGACGTCGACAAATATACTTGTTTGCCCTCTGCCACGTCCCGAGGAGGCCTGTCTGCGCCAAACCACAGAAAATGTCGAACCGACGAAAATACTCGGTTCAGCACTCGCCCTTGCTTTAAAACCAAACTAACCAAATCTTACATGCAACACTTGTCACTAATAATTGCTGAGAAGTGTAGCTGCACACAGAACACTCAACACAAGCATCGAGAATTTTCACATTTGTTGCCAGATGTCCTTTAATGTTACCCTTGCGTTGTGTTCTCGTATAGTGCTATCGCTTATGCGTACTTGCACTCTAACCACGCAGTCATGATTGCACCATGCAGAATTTCGTCGAAGACTACTCACCATTATTGTGTACATTCACCTGGGAGTGCACTCTAAAAAAAATCGAGTATTTGGGAAGCGTTTCTGCCCCACAACAATAATAGTCATCTCCTTCGAGTACTTTCCTCGTGTTATCGCCATGGTTTGCGGTCACGAACAGCGGGAGTGTAATAAGGGTGACATAGCGATTCTTGAGAAGAAAGTAGCCAGCGCCGGGTTTTCAAAAAAAAAAAAGGAAACGCGGGAACTCAGATGGCGATTATCGTCGAGTCGCAGAACTATACTCCCCGAATACTTTTTTTCTTTTAGCGATAGTTACTCCGCTAGTCAGTGCATGGATCAATTTGGTGTGTCGTT